CCATTATCTCGGGGAAAAATGATATACTGGTTGATACTGCAGAGTACAGAGAATTGTAGTCCACCTTCTCTGAAGAACATGAGGTTAGAAAGGCTGAACTGCAACATTTCTACAGTGGATATAAAAAGTTTACACACCCCTGTTAACATGTCAAGTGTCTGTGATGTAAAAAAAGAGACGAAGATAAATCATTTCAGAACTTTTTCCACTTTTAATGAGACCTATGAACTGTACAACTCAGTTGAACAACGAACTGAAATCTTTTAGGTGAAGGGAAGTAAAAATAAAAAACGGAAAAAATATTTCAAACAGACAGAGATACGTAATTTTGGCTGCTGTGTGCACAGGCCAAAAAGAGAAAACGGACATCGAAGTGGGTAACCCAAAATTTAGAATTATATAACAAAGTAATATACCAAGAGCTGAGGTCCCACTGGTATAATGCTCATAAAGCCTATAAACTACAGATAATCATCCCTAAAGTTCTACTCTATCCCCTAGTTTGAATACAGCTGTAGTCTGCTTCCCTCCCTGCAAACATACATGGGGCTGCAAAGCTTATGGGTAATTGGCTGTCAGGATTTCTGTATCAAAATAGGTTACCAAAAAATAAATAAATAAATGACAACCTTCATCAGGCCAGTTTTTGCTGAAAAAAGAGATGGCACCAGGCTGAGTAACATTGCTTACTATAAACCCGTATTTTCTTCTCCTTGGTTACTGCCCAAGGCCCTACGGCTGGAAGCTGTGAAGGCCAACCCCTCCTATGATGCTTCTACTCTTCCTTTGGTCCTGTGTCTATGGAATACTGACCGGGACAGCAGCATTCTTACCTATGCTAACAGGGGCAAGAGTCCCCTCTTGCTGGATCCAGATGTGGAGACAGGGTAGGATTGTATTAATCAGAATTATGCTTCTACTATTGCTTGTAGAAAATTTAATGGCACCTACTAATGTTTAAGAAATCTTGTGGTGGGGTGAAATGAAGGTGAAGAGGAGCTTGATCGCTGTATTTTGCACTGGGGCACATGAGCCTAACTGTGATGACCATGCAGTAAATGCAACTAAACCTGGAGCAATTTCAGCATCTCCCCACTCATCTCTACAGAATGCTAAACAAATAATTTATTATTGCATGCACAGAGGTATTAATTGTTAGCTCTCATTTCCCCCCCAAAAAAGAACAGCTTGCATAAAGACACGAAGGATGTGTTATTTGGCAGTACCCCCAGTGCTGTGTCCAAAGACTACAAGACACAGCTTGGTTCCTATGGCACAAGTCTTCTAGGTTACAGAACCATTCCTCCTGGAACTTGATGGCCTTCACAAACCAGACTGTTCCCTGACACACTTTGTTGCAAGAAGCTTGTGTTTTTGGGTTGCTGAACAGTATTCAAAAATACAAAAAGTTGTGGGGTTGTTGTTGTTGTTTTTGCTACAGTCACTGAAGATTACCAAACTGAATCACTGTTATGGTGTTTAGATGAAGTGTCCAATGATGTGAAGGTCTTTAAAGGGTAGGAGCTCTAAAGCCTGAATTATGAAAGATCCCTTGTTGGATCAGACAAAGCCTTAGCTAACCCAAAACTGGACGAACCACACTGACACAGTTTGAACCTCCAAGGCTTCCACAATGAAAACACTCCTTCCTAACATTCTGCTTTCATCTACCTCAAGCTGGGATGACATCTCCTTGAACTGTTCTTTAAAACAAAGATGATCAATAAGCTCAGGAAACAACACCTCAACAGAGGTCACAGACTATCTTTTTTTTTGGGGGGGGGAATAAGCGGAAGTACGAATTGAGCACTCCTGCCTTTTTGTCATCTGTTATCATTTTCCCACCCCTACTGAGTAGCTGACCCACAGTTTATTTTCTCCGTTGTTTACTATGCACATACCTGAAAAATGTTTTGTTGCTGCTTTTAGCATCTCAGCTCATTCTCAGCTTTTGCCTTTCTAACTCCATCCGTGCAATTCTTTGCTATCTGTCTGTACTCTTCCTTTGTGACCGGGCCTTCCTTCTACTTCTTGTATATGTCCTTTTTTACTTTTAGGTCCTCTCTAAGCTTTTTGTGAAGCCACACTGGTCTTCTTTCTTTCTTTCTTTCTTTCTTTCTTTCTTTCTTTCTTTCTTTCTTTCTTTCTTTCTTTCTTTCTTTCTTTCTTTCTTTCTTTCTTTCTTTCTTTCTTTCTTCTTTCTTTCTTGTTGGAATTGTTTATAGTTCTGCCTTTAGAATTTGTCCACTCAAACTTGGACTCCTTTTCCTATTAAGATCTCCTGCCATGGGTCCTAATTTATCATTGTTGAGTTTATTTAAATTGGCTTTCCTGAAATCCAAGATACATCTTTGATTTTAAAGGAAACAACACCTACACTCTAGTTTTGCTTCCTTTAAAATCAAGAAAAGTAGAATATGGTCACCTTCTCCCAAAGCTCCCCTTACTCATATTTCTTCCACCAAGTCGTCTCTATCGGTTAGAATCAACTCAAGGATAGCTAATTGTCTCCTGTAGTTTCTTCCTCCACTTTTTGTAGGAGAAAATTATCAGTGACACAAGCCAGGAATATATTGGAAGGGCCATACATGGAAGAATTTGCCTCCCAACAGAGATCAAGATAACTGAAATCTCTCATTACTACTACATTTATGTCTCTTTGAATTTCTTGCCATTTGTTTTCAAAGGTTTCATCCATATCTTCTTGATTGATAGTGGGCCCGAACTACTTTCAAAGGTTTCATCCATATCTTCTTCTTGATTGATAGTGGGTAGTGGGCCCGAACTATGTTCTTTTTTTGTTTTCACCCCAGTTATATTAATCCAGATGCTCCTGATGGGACAAACACACTCATTTTCCTGTATTTCCGTGCAGGAGTATGCATTTCTGACACATAGTGTGACTCCACCACCTTTTCTATTCTTTCTGCTCTTTTTGAACAATTTATATCCTTCAGTTGCTGTATTCCCAGTCATGGGAGTCATCCCGCCAAGTTCCAGTTATCCCCATCAAGTCATATTTAGTCTCCTAAATTAGTATTTCCAGTTTTTGTTTGTTTCCTATACTTCTGGCATTCATATACAGTACAGACACCAGAGATTGTGTAATTTGTGGCCTGCTTTCCTTTGGCCATTTTAATGAATATTATTATTGAGCCCCATTAGAGGTACAGTACTTAGTATGCTCCTCTTATTGTGCACAGGCCTTGATCATCTATCTTTACCTCCGACCTTGCATCTCTCCCTCTGCCCACAGTCTAAACTAGAGACGGAGGTCCCCCCACAGGTGGAAATAACAAGGTTCCACACTCACCATTTTGCCGCTGATGCGAGCTCGGCAGAGCCTTCCTATCACACCGTTGTCCATAATGGATTAGCCACTTTGCAACCTGGCAGAGAGGTTTGTAATCTATTGGGGACAATGGCACGATAGGAAGGCTCCACCAAGCTTGCATCACCGGCGAAACAGTGAGTGGACAGTCCGGCCCCATGGGGCCAAACCCTCGTTATTTCCATCTGTGGGGGAATATTTGTACTCATATATGAATACCCCCATCTCTAGTCTAAACCCCTGCTGATGTGACCAAACACATTGAATGATGCTTGGAAAGTCCATTACCATATAACTCTTTGAAGTTGTCTCCTTGGTTTTCCCTTTTATTTTGTCTCTTCCTTCACTAGACCATTTCCTTACTACCTTTCTTTACCACCACTCCCTCATCCAACTGATGCTTGGAAAGTCCATTACCATATAACACTTTGAAGTTGTCTCCTTGGTCTTCCCTTTTATTTTGTCTCTTCATTCACTAGACTTTTTCCTTATCACCTCTCCCTCATCCAATTCTTGTTAGCTCTCCCCATTGGCTCACTCCCTGGGGTAGGTCCCAGATTTATTCCTCTGCTGTGCTGTTAGGAATCAGCAAACAGACTCCTAACAGAGCACCTATCATCTTCATTGTCTGGGCCTCACAGACATCCTAGTGGAAAGAAACAAAGATAATGGGTAGCTGTAGTCCAAGCACTAAACTATGCAGCTATCCACGGCAAGAAATGAACAATGAGAAGCCTGGGCAGGTGCCAAGAAAGGCATCTATGGGCACCATATTGGAAACCAAGTACCATACGATATTTGGGGGCTGCTAGTGAGCATGTGCCAATGAGACTTTCTCTATTTGGAGCTCTGCCTTCAGTGCACATATGTGGCAACTAAGCTCTCTTTCAAGCCAGACAGAGGTGTGTGGGTCTCAGGTTTGTAGAATCTATTGTATTTCCTTTTTATTGGAACACATAGATGTACATGTATATCAATCACTAAGGAGCACACCACCTGGAGCTCTGCCTTCAGTGCACATATGTGGCAACTAAGCTCTCTTTCAAGCCAGACAGAGGTGTGTGGGTCTCAGGTTTGTAGAATCTATTGTATTTCTTTTTTATTGGAACACAGAGATATATATGAACCAGGGTGGAACTGTGGCTCAAAAGTGCAGATGTATATCAAACACTAAGGAGCACACCACATCTCAACTCACACTCAGCTCAGGAACCTGTCATCAGGAGAAGGGGCCAAATTCCCAACTCCTTTTCAACGGAAATCTACTCCTGGTTTTCTCTCCTATCTCATTCCAGTGTGGGGAGGGAGAAACCCTTTTTCTTTTTGCTATTGTTAGACAACTGGAGACAAACAATATTGATAATCTATTGAAAATCATTGCAAGCCTGGCATTAGATTAGCCTTTTGCTAATCCCATTATAGATGAAATAGGGTCCAGTCATCTTTGTTCATGGTTCTTTAGAAGACAAACTACAAAATGATTGCACAATAGTTTCAAATATAAAATCAAAACAGTAGCACTACATAGAGGAAGGCTTCTGAGTAACTATTACCTGTGTATTTGTTTTTTAAAAATAATTAAAGCATAGCTATAATTAACTCATCACAGCCATGTTACATACAACTACCAGATAAACATTTTCATAAAAGAGAAAAGGACGGAACTCACCTGTACATGAAATATCTTGAAATCAGACCCATACATCTTCATCTCCTCTGGGAAATCTTTAAAAGCATTCAAGTAAGGAATATGACCATCCATTACCAGCCTGCATTAAAGTAGCAAGAGTAAAATCAGTATGGGCATGTTGCTTTAGTTCAATATGCATCACATGACATATACAATGGCAGCATAGCATAATGTTTCTAATACAGTATTTGCTAAATATTGGCCAGAACATACTAGAGATTTATATTGATATAAATGTAATAGTGGATACTTTCATACCCAGTCACAGACCAAGTTGTACAACTGTTACATAGCAAAGAATGCATGTGGCAACTATTTAGCAGTGATTTCGTTTATGCAATTACACTTATGGCGGCATACATCTTCAATAAAATTCTGAAAATTACATCTAAAACATCCTTAACTGATCAGTTACAATGACTATGTGCTATCATCCTTTAAGATCTTGTTAATATGTCTATGTTGCACACCTGCATCATACAACAAGAATGAACTACTGAAGGTGAGCAAAAGAATGGAGAAATACTATTTCGTGCAAACAGAGGAACTCTTCAGAACAATGCAACATAATAGCAACGTAACCATCTTCAGAACAGGGGTTCTAATTTTTTTGTCTGCTAGATGTCTTGGACTGCCCCTCCCAGAAACTCTGACTATTCACCATGTCAGTGGGGACACTATCCTAGGAGCTAAAGTCCCAAACTCCCAGAAGCTGTGAATCACTGTTTCAGAAAGATCAGAGGATCTTCTGAGCCCAGCCAGATCCTTCTTAAAACTGGGCACCGAAAAAGTACCCCAAAGTCATCTTACTCAGATGTTGCAGAGTCAGGATCTACCGTATTTTTCGCTCCATAAGACACACTTCCCCCCCCCAAACAGAGGGGGAGAAAGTATGTGCATCTTATGGAGCGAATACAGTAAAAAAGGGTTCAGCCACCACCACCCAGAAGCCGCCCACTGCCATGCTGGGAGGCCTCTGAACTGGCACCAAAGACTGCTTGCTGTTTGGACCTCACCGTTCTGCACTGCTGGCTTTCCAGGATCTGCTTGTCACAGCCCACCTGGAAAACCAGCAAGACTAACAGGCCTATGGCAGCAGGCAATGAAAACAGCCAAGGACCAAAGGGGAAAGAGTAATTCTAGAAAGACCAGGGGAAACCACACAATCCCCCACTTAGCAAAGCAAAGCAAAGCGTGCTGCTTATATACCGCCCCATAGCGCTTCAAGCACTCTCTGGGCAGTTTTCAATTTAATTATGCAGGCCACACATTGCCCCCCCCCAGCGAGCTGGGTACTCATTTTACCGACCTCGGAAGGATAGAAGGCTGAGTCAACCTTGAGCCGGCTACCTGGGATTTGAACCCCAGGTCATGAGCACAGTTTTGGCTGCAGTACAGCG